GTGACAATTAACATGATTCAGTTGCAATAATCAACGATGAACATCCAAATGACAATCATAAAGGTAGTAATGCTGGAATAATACTGTGTGATGTTGGAAGGGTTGAGGATGGAGGAGCTGATACGACGTTTCACGCACACAGGAGCTCCTTCAGGAAACAGGGAATATCTGTATAATTTTAATCAAGGGGCACAATAAATATAGTCTGTACATTCATAGTTCTCTGTGAAGTAATAGTAATACATTAGGTGGGATTTTCACCTACCAATTTGCATAGGCTGATACGTGTGTATCTGGGCGGGCCTACCCGAGCAGCGCACCCGCGCAGTCCCCCCCAGTGACGGGGTGGGTGGAATGTGAGCCAAGTCCCAATATTAAGCCGGAGGTAGGAGATGGAAAACACAATGAAAGCCTTGGAAGAATGAATAGAGAGGCATGGTCACAGGCCACAGTGCAATTCGTATGGGGGTCAATGCTAATACGTATATGGAGGAATCATCCTCTGGTTAGTAAGAACATATATATAAAGGGGGCACAGCGGCCAGCATAACTTACATGAGAGGAATAGTCAATAGTCAAGAATAGCTAGATCGATTTGCTAGCTGAAAAATCCTCCGAGCCACCCACATCCAGCGCCGCCGCCTCCCGGACGCATACTGATGTCGGTGGCTTACGCGGGCGCTATAACGGTATCTGGCGCGATTACGTCAGATGTGTCATCGCGTCGTCCGAGGAAACTCCGCCCAATTGATACGCCCCTACAGAAAACCTCTGAAGGGAGTGACAAGGCCTTGCTCCGGTGATCAAGGGGAAGAAAGGAAACCTCCTCAATCAAGGCAGTTAGCTAGGGTGCTGATTCGCAGGGCGCTGCCGACCCCTATAAGGGTCGGCTTCTATCAGATTTCCGAGCAATAACACCCTCCTACTCTTTATGCCCCTACCTATGGAGCTTGGTTGCTCCTCCCATCTTGACTGATCTAGCAAATCAGCACCCTAGCTAACTGCCTTGATTGAGGAGGTTTCCTTTCTTCCCCTTGTCCGTTTTATCGCCCTCTCTCTCTGGATTTTTCAGCTAGCAAAACGATCGACTTGACTATTCCTCTCATGTAAGTTATGCTGGCCGCTGTGCCCCCTTTATATATATGTTCTTACTAACCAGAGGATGATTCCTCCATATACGTATTAGCATTGACCCCCATACGAATTGCACTGTGGCCTGTGACCATGCCTCTCTATTCATTCTTCCAAGGCTTTCATTGTGTTTTCCATCTCCTACCTCCGGCTTAATATTGGGACTTGGCTCACATTCCACCCACCCCGTCACTGGGGGGGACTGCGCGGGTGCGCTGCTCGGGTAGGCCCGCCCAGATACACACGTATCAGCCTATGCAAATTGGTAGGTGAAAATCCCACCTAATGTATTACTATTACTTCACAGAGAACTATGAATGTACAGACTATATTTATTGTGCCCCTTGATTAAAATTATACAGATATTCCCTGTTTCCTGAAGGAGCTCCTGTGTGCGTGAAACGTCGTATCAGCTCCTCCATCCTCAACCCTTCCAACATCACACAGTATTATTCCAGCATTACTACCTTTATGATTGTCATTTGGATGTTCATCGTTGATTATTGCAACTGAATCATGTTAATTGTCACAATGTTTTTATGTTAAGAATCATGTTGTATGGAAGGTGTATGTATATGGAGTGAGCTTACAGGGAGCTATCTACCTAGCTGATTATTTTTAATAATGGATTTTCGATCCAGTTTCTTAAATTTTCATCATCACAATTAAAATTAATTTTTTATACGGTCTTTTGCCTCGTGGAGTTGTCTTTTGGTGCTCTCAAAACCCCACTTTCTGTTCTTGATATTGCAATCCTCAGGGGTGGGGCACCTACCATTCAGATCCAGGTCAAAATCATTCTATGTTATGGAATTACACTATGTGAGATAATATATAGCTTTTATGTTCTTTGATTTTTGGGAAATTTCAAAATGTAGATCTCTGAATTCAGCAAGTTTGCCAGTTGTTCAATACTGTACACACATCTCTAATTTGTTCCTACTTAACATCAAACTTTAAAATAAGATTTCCAACAATGTAGAGTTACGTTTTCTTGTCAAGATAAAAGAGTCCGTAGAATCTGTTGACCTAAAGGTCTCATTATGTAATGCATTGTCAGCTGGGGACATCTATTTTTTTTATTTTTATTTGCTGCCTGAAAACTCCCCTCTGTCATTGCAGTGGCTTTTGCTCTGTACACGACAGGTGATATCAATGTTGCATGGTCGGTGTTATCCTAACAGATTTACTCCCAGACCCTATTGAAGAGTTATGTCTTTATAGCCCCTTTATTGGCCCTGTAATTCATTGGTATACCTGCAGTTATACACTAGCAGTCTCCTTAAAACAGCTGTGTGACTCAGAGATATATTAGCTTCTAAAATAATCACCGGCTTTGCTCAAAAGACTTTATTGGCAAAGGGGAGACAGTTGCTTTAGGTGGTAAGTGTTTTAGCCACATGCTCACATGAAATGGATTTCTGTAGCATGGGCTCAAGTTGAAAAACATTTTCATTTTAGAGGCAAAATGTGAATCAGGGCTATAGAACATCACAATAATATTAACTTCAATACATACAAATGCTTTTAATATGCATAGCATGCATGATATGACCTAGCTAGCATGCATACCATGAAAGTTCAGCCACCAATGTGATTTTAGGGAAAAGATACAGGTTTTCTTGATTCAGGGTCAGACCACATGCACATTCAGAGCCATGGCCCCCAAAATAGTTGCTATTTTTGCCACTACTGTTGTTAGCTATCTTTACTATCTTCAATAATAAAATGTTACCATTTTAATACTTTTGTGTCAGAACAGAGGATTACGATTCTAGCTAAATGTTTTTACTGAATTCACCATAGATGTATAGTGTTTTTTAATAAGGTGTTCAGATGATATCATGGCAGGAAAAATTGCCATGTAATACATGTAATTCTGCTCCTATTCAATATTTCTCACTGATACCTAGCAGAAAGTAACACTGCTCTGTACCCCAAAGAACCTTACAGTCCACTGTCACTGCACAGTCACACAGAAACACTCATTAAGGGTCAAATAAATTAGAAGCCATATTACCTACCATTATGTGTTGGGTTATGGGAGGAAAGCAAGCATCTAAAGGAAACTTATACAAAGACAAGGAGAACACACACACTTTGTGCAAATTATATCCTCATGTATAATGAAATTGCAGACAAAAGCAAGGGTGTTAAACACCAGTGCTGCCCATTATTTTACTACACGTTTCTTTTTAATGTACCCTAAAGACACTGACTCACTGAGAACGAATATATTTTTAAGAGATGGAAATACAACAGGATTCATGTGGTCACTGAACACAGGCAGTACCACACATCATCCTTATTTATCACCATTGTACTCTTATCATTCTTAATCTGGCCATAGATGCTATAAGATGCAAAGTTGTGCAGGCATGATTGGACCCCCAATAAGCAGCTTTTCCAATCAGCGCTTCTGTACAGACAAACAGATGCATCAAGCAACAATTTGTGTTTAGGCCTACATAAAGCATTAGGGTCCCCTTTTTATCAAGGGAAAAAATTCCATTCTTCCCAGGTGAACCTGGCAGTGTCTGGAGGTGCCCCACAGGATTAAATCATTATCTGCCCTGTTTAAGCATATCTGATGTCTACGGGCACTTTAAAGATATACTAATATAAAGAAATACTGTATTTAAGC